CAGATTCTGCCGATTTGTTCGCCTATACGAGATGAAGACAGCTGCTTGATCAACGACTGCAGATCCTCAATATTTGCAGATATCAGGACATACGATTGAGCTACGTGGAATATCCCGGATATTGCTGGAAAGTTAGACAATAATAATTATGTATTTATTTCAATTTATTTATAAACTCTTTATTGCACCAATAGATTTAATACATAACAATTACACAGAAAAGAGATATGGATCTACAAAAGGCGGTCTTATCGCAAGTTCAAGTTTGAAAATCATTTATTCATGTAGGACATTTTAGCCGCTTATGAACGTCAAGTTTTTACATTATATTTTTTTTCCCTACCGTCCATCAAGTCCGTCCGTCAAGAAGCAATCTCTTACAGACAGAAAAGACAACCTTTAGGTAAAGAAAAAAAACAACAAATTGATAGGTGGCGCATGAATAGCATGATAGAATAATACATAAACATAAATAATAATAATCTCAGGACAATTCACACAGCGCCACCTAGTTTAGCTAAAACTTGTGTTTGGGTCTAGATAACTGATACAAATACATATACATTATACATAGAAAACACCCAGACCGATACAAACAATCATACTCATGAATACAAATATTTATGCCGTGGTATGAATCGAACCCGCGACCATCGGACGTAAAGCGGTGTGCTAGACTGCTAAACTACTGAGGTCGTCAAATAACTCTAGACAATGCAGACAGTACCCTTCCGATCGATCCTCCGTCCAATTCAAATCGAAATTACGACGGCCTGAGCTGAGGTACGAACCCCTAGCGGTGTCCTCAGAGTAAAGTCGTATCCGTCAGGCGGAAGTTGGCCTACAGCCATTGGAGTGCCATAGAATAGAATAGAATAGAAAATTATTTATTCAAATAAACTTAATTTAAGCACTTTTGAATAGTCAACATTTTTTAAATCTACCGCTTATTCGGAAAGCTGTCTCATCACAAGAAGAATAAGCAAGAAACTTGTGTGTTGCTCTTTTAAACAATCCTTGTAAGATCACATTTTACAAGTCGAAACGTGTGAATACAAACTACCAACCAACACTAATTTATTTAGGCTCAAATATAAAAAAAATCTACATATGCACTCGCCCGGTGTCGTCAGTGAAGCTGTAAAGGCCAGCGGCCAACAGCATTAGAGTATCCAGTTGCTACCATCAAAATTTCCTACACCTCCGTCCGTACAATTTTCATAAAAAGGTACAAAGTTTATGCTTCGCATATTAATATGATCTTACTAATATTATAGACTTGAAAGTTTGCGAGTATGGATGGATGTTTGTTACTCTATCACGCAAAAACTACTAAACGGATTTTGATAAAACTTTCCAGTAATATACCTTATATATTACCACCATCTACTCGCCCTGGCTTCGCCCGGGTGTACATGTATTATACATATAAACCTTCCTCTTGAATCACGCTATCTATTAAAAAATAACGCTTTAAAATCCGTTGCGTAGATTTAAAGGTTTAAGCTATGTATAGGGACGGACAGACAGCGATAGCGACTTTGTTTTATACTATGCAATGATAACTCATAGGCTATAATATAAAAAGATATTACGTAATAGTTAATTTTTAAAAAATATTCATGTTAAGACCCGGTTAATAATTTAAATAATGTAGATATTACGTAATGTTATTATAATAACAAATGTTAAGTAAGTTTCGATGCAGACGAAGTTGTGCGTTTCAACTAGTCTAAATATATATAACTCAAAGGTGACTGACATAGTGATCTATCACCGCACAGCCCAAACCACTGGACGGATTGGGCTGAAATTTGGCATGCAGGTAGATGTTATGACGTAGGCATCCGCTAAGAAAGGATTTTGATTAATTCAACCCCCAAGGGGATAAAATAAGGGATGAAAGTTTGTATGAAACTTTGTCAATTGTAAACCGATCAGACTAAGACTTTGCATGCATAAAGCTACTATGACGTAGGCATCCTCTAAGAAAGGATGTTGATAAATTCCACCGCTAAAGGGATAAATTAACGCGAGCGAAGCTGCGGGCAAAAGTTAGTGATAATTAATATCGTAACTACAGTCCACTAAACAAACAATCAATAATTCAATTTACATGTTTTCTATTCAACTTGCTTGTATTTATATTTAATGAAAACCACATGAAAACCTTCAATGGACTATACAAAAAGAAACACCACCTAATTTTGTGAGTGCCACAAAGTGTTTCATAAATCAACTTCCATTTTATATGAATGAAATTAGAAAGTTAAATGAAGCAATAATATATAATGATATTGTGAATAAATATCTTAAATTGGGATTATTTTATAATTTCCAGGTATATGACCCAATCGTAATAATAATAATATCTCAGGACATTCACATAACGCCATCTAGTCCCAAGCTAAACAGAGTTCGTGTTATGGGTACTATAGAACTGCCAAATGCTATGCATTTTTTTATTAATGAATTCGTATGGATATTAGACAACTGCTAAGATACATTTTTTTAAACCATACATACAAATATTTGTACCGTGCGAGCAATCGAACTCGCGCCCATTAGACGTAAGGCAGTATCCGAAACCACTACACCATCGAGATAAAGGAGTTTTAAAGTTTAGTTACGCAATAAATTCGACAGTTTCTATGGGAAAATAAAATTGTTGTTTTTACTATGCTCCATGCAATTTTTTCATATTGTATCACCGTTTAAACCATCTCTGGACTTCCACGAATATTTCAAGACTAAAATTAGCCAAATCGGTTCAGCCGATCTCGAGTTTTAGCGAGACTAACATCAAATTTTGTGAGCGTATTGAGTATGTCTGAGAATCGGCCAACATATATTTTTCATCCCCCTAAATATTAGGGGTAGTCCACCCCTAATTTTTTTTTTATTTTAAGGTAAAACAACGTTTGCCGGTTTAGCTAGTATATATATATATATAGATAATAAGAATAATAAAACTCATTGTTCTCTATAAAAAAAAATACAAAAAAGAAAAATATACAAACAAAAGGCTCAAAGCAATCTCTTACAAACGAATTGAGAATATTTCTTTTGTAAAGCCCATTGAAACTGGATAGGCATAACCTCAAAATAATGATAGGGACAATAACGGGCCACTGTCTCTTAAATAAACACCTGTACACAATAGGTGCTACAGACAGTCCCCTTTGTCAGGGCTGCTTTGAAGCCGAAGAAACGGCGGCTCACATAATCCTGGAGTGCTTGCAGTAGCCACACAACGAAAACAGATCCTCGGAACGGTGAGGTTGCTTCATGAAGCCTGTGAAGGCACCAGGAGACTTCTGCGCTTTTGGGAGGAGCTTGGCTGGCTACTTTTGTACCCTGGCTACTAGACCCAAGTTAAGCTTGAGTTATGGGTACTAGATAACTGATACAAACACATAGATTTGTCTTGTAAATACATACATATTATACATAGAAAACACTCAGACCGATACAAACAATCATACTCATGAATACAAATGTTTGTGCCGTGCGAGGAATCGAACCCGCGACCATCGGACGTAAAGCAGTGTGCTAGACCGCTAGACCACCGAGGTCGTCATAAAGCATTTATCTATGTACATATCTATCATTGAAAACTAGTCCGATAGTCACTTACTTATAATCCAAACTAGAGCTGTCATTTTAAATCCTACAAACAATTACGTACAACTACAGTTTCTCTATGAACAATAAACTGAAAAGTACGACTATTAATTTAATAAAATACTTAAAGTACTATGGCCGTGAAATTGAATTAAAAATTGCATTTTCGCTCGCCATATGTGGTATACAAAACTAATTCTTATTATTATCTAAATTAAATTCAAAAACGTATATCAAAAGAGGTTAGAGATGTGACGGCGTGGTGCGGCCGGATAATGGGCTCCCTAAAATGTGACTGAACGCAATGCCATCCGTGATACTAGTGAATGGGTGCTGCTTCTGATCTGCCTTGACTACGATGGATTTATTTAGCTAAATACACTCTAAAGGCATTTTTGTGCTATTTGGTGTACATTCAAAATAATAAACTGAATAACTCGACAATTAGTTTCGGCTGAAAAATCTATAGATCTTTTTTTTTTAATTGTTTGAAAGTTGGAAAGGGCAATGGAATAGATAATTAAATTTAGAAATTGTAACTAACACTATAGACAATTAATCTATTATTGTTCGATTCCTCACACGGCACATATATAAACATATATCTATGTATAATATATATGTACGTATTTCCGATAAAAAAATATATCTATGTACTTGTATCAGTTATCTAGTACCTACCCATTACACAAGCTTTGGCTGTCTTATGTGAATTGTCCTAAGATTATTATTATTTATGTTTATTAATATCTGACATCCCAAAATGTAATAACAAAACGTAATCAACCTGTACCAATCCTTAAATCATACCAAAAATTAAACATGTAGTACCGATATTTATTCAAGCAAGCAAATAATACATTAACCTAATGACACGTAATTTTAAAACCTATTTAGTGGCAAACAGTCAACGCTTTGCATCAGGTGGGCCGTAAGACATGTTGTGATTAGCATTTTCCAACCATTTATATTAAATGATGTTGAAGCTAATTTATATCCTACAGATAAGACTTAAATTCTTTTTACATTATTAACCATTCCATTATAGTTTAGTTGGATATGCCCATTATAGACTTTTTTTTTGTTTGATTTACTACTTTATGTGTTTATTTTTTTGTTCGATTTTCACATCTTAGGGAAGAAGCCATTCAGCCGTTGTCTTCGGTAGTACACGTTACCCGTTCTCTTCTTACTCTTTTTTTTGGATCGGTTTGTTCGATTTCAGGGAAAGGCAAAAGGACTCAGCCTATACAGCCATTGTCTTTGGTAGTATCTTCTTATCTGTTCTATGGTGACTGTACTAATACGTCATCGATTGACATCCCATAACACTGACATTGACATCCGACATTTGACATCACTGAAATGATTTCGAAATATCATTGTTTTGTTTGCTTTCGTACGTTCACAAAAAGAATTGTAATTGTTATTTTTGCAAACTCATTACCTTGAATCCGTCCAGAAGGTATTTTGAGAAATGGAAACCAATTTGCAACACGAAGATCTTTTAATAAAACTTCGTGCTAAACTCAACGAGGATAAAGTGAAGTTATGGGAACCTCCTTACACAGAATCAGACAATGGAATATCACAAAGTTTGCAGGTAAACAAAAGGTTTATCGACTATTGTATATTATTAGGTAACTCCTGAATCCCTCCTTTTCCACTAAATGAGACATTATTTACTTCGGATTTCTTGTAATGCCGTTATAGGAGAAAAACAAATCTGAATAATCCTGACATTAATGTCCCATTGTAGGGCAGATATTGCGCTCCCAAAAAAAAAAAATAATAATCATTTATTCAGCATAAAAAAGAGTACAGAGTAAAAAAGAAAACTTAAAAACTAATAATTCACTATGCTGAAAAGGCTTCCACTCAGCTGGTGCCGCAGCGTGTCACTACAGCGCTGATTTTCAGTGGAGCCACTTGAAAATAAGAAATAGCATTCCTAATGAATTCAAAATATATAAGGATAAAAAAGTGTTGATAGAAAGACTTGTGTAATATAATATAGCTTGAATATATTTATTTATTTAATCAATATATATGTATATATAACTACTGTATTTATCTAAAACCTATTACTCTACTAGCCTGCAACTCCTGCCATTATCTGCTGCTATAGCATTTTCTTTAGCGTTAATTTTAAAAGCTAGTAGCTTGAAACTGATTTTTAAGCTGTTGATCAAATATAAATAAATATGATATTGGAAATTTGTAAACATTTTACTCTTATATAATATGTTAAAATAAAATAGGATATGATAGTTTGCCTAATATAGCCTACTGCCTAAATAATTATAAGTGCTATGCAAGCTTACTATTCTATCAGTAAGTGCTGGATCTTATCGGATCTGGACTTTATTACTCACAACATGTTTGAGAAGTATTTATTAAAACTTTTGAAATCAACAACTTTGTTGTGGGTTTGTTTGTTTGTAACACTAGTGAATACATTTAAAATAATTAAGGATACAATGTTCTTAAAAAATAAGCTGTATATTGGTGGACTTATCCCAAATGAAGATATAGAACATGGACTACATGCCTCTTCTTCTGATATTGCACTGTTTGTGTGTACTGATAAAACTAATTAGATAATAATATCCCACTCTATCTGAAATTATTAAATTTTTATTTAATATTTTTAAGAATAGAATAGAAATTCCTTTATTGAAATAGACTTAATTAAACCACTTTTGAATAGTCATAACAATATTTTAATCTACCGTTCATTCGGAAAGCTGTTTCATCAAAAGAAGAATGAGCAAGAAACTTGTGTGTCTCTTGTTAAAATAATCTTTGTAAGTTCACATTCTACAAGTCGAAACCTGTGAATACAAACTACCAACTAGCACTAATTTAAATAGACAATAAGATTAAATCTATCATAGTGATAAATTTGTTATTATTAGGTTTAATATAATTAGATTAGGTAGACATGTTTGGAGACAAATACTCCAAAATCAATTTAGATAATAAAAAAAGAAGGGTCATTATTCCATGTGGATGAAGTCTCTCATGTGGCTGATACAGCTAGTTGTATTATAAAGAAATTAATATGTATTATGGAAGTTTTAAACCCTCAACAAATTTAATTGCTATACATTTTAATTACAGGAACTGGCCAACAAATACTCAACAACACTATCCATAAATATCGACACTGTCCTACAAGGGTTACATGAATTACAACTCCACTCCGTTGATCGGTCAAAGGCTAATGAAGAGTTCAAGGAGACAGGGTTTGCTACCCTCAGGATCAAAGCAACAGTCCCCGGTGAAAGGCCTAAGATATTGAAGGTGCAGAAAAAGTTGGATGTTATGGGCAGTGATCTGATTGCAACAGTGGCACAGGATATTGGAATATTGGAAATTAGGTGAGTTCTGTTACTTTATTACAGTCTATACATATAAATAAAATTGGAGTGTTTGTTTGTAATATTGAAATAACCATTTTTTACTACATGCATATGAATATCAATACGATACATACACCAAAATAACATTTTTTACTGTTTTTGTCTGTCTGTCGGGCTGTTTGTTCCAGCTGATATCTGAAATGGCTTGACGGATGGACGGGACTTTTATTGGCAGGTAGCTGATATAGTAAGGAGTAATTTAGGGTACTTTTATTTTAGAAAAAAAAATGTTAAATTTCATGCGGAGGAAGTCACGGGAACAGCTAGTATGAAATATGTATTGTATTTTATTTGTATAAATACATTGTTCTCCAATTGTCATGAGAGTTCCTTTCAAATTCATAAATATATTTATACATGTAGGTCTATTACAGACTCTTATGATATGTCAAATCTACCATCAGTTCGGAATGATTTTGAAATGAGAACAACTGAGAAGAAACTCAGCTCGTATTCTTTTTAAAAGATACAACTTGGTTGAGATTGGAAGCAAAACTATTTAATATTCATCATAATTACATTAGGGTACTTAACCCTCACATAAATCAATTTACAAATAATAATCAAACTACCCATAATTTACATACTTAACAATACAGATTCATTTTTAAATTAATATTTAGGAGAATAGAGTGACTACTAGCATAGGCTATTGCAAAAGCAAGAAGTTTAATCAATGTTCATTATTTTTCCTTAATATAGTTGTACATTATTGTACAGTAGCTAGCTTTATCATTTACATTTCATGATTCATGATCCCATGAAGGTTTTAAGGAAGATCAAATTTCCACTTATCTTTTGACAAAGGTGTTCTAATTTTCTTAATGAATATTATTATGAAAGGGATTGATGGTATATCTTAATAATATTACAAATGCAAAAGATTGTGAGTATAGATGTTTGTAACTCTTTCACGCAAAAAGTACTGAACGGATCTTGATGAAACTTTACAGTCATAAAGCTTATGTATCAGAATAATACATAGGCTATATTTTTTATTGAAATTTATATATCTAAATTTAACGTGGGTGAAACCACATGCACAATATTGTTATAATTTTGTGCTGAATTCAAGATTAGTTATTTGGGTAACACAATTTTTAATTCATTATATCAATATTACAGTTGTAGAAACCTCTTTTTAAATATCATTAGAAACTCTTACAAAAATATGTAACTCTTGTAGTTTCTTTACAGAATAAAGTTAATCTTCAATGGTAAAGTTATAAAGCCAAGTTCGACCCTGGAGGAGCAGGGCATCAAGAATGGAGTACAAATCATGGCCCTTATTATGGCTAGTATGTATATCATTTAACTATCATGGAATATAATATATATTATATATATCTTCATTACATAGTATAAAACAAAGTTGTTGTCGCTGTCTGTCAGTCCCTATGTATGCTTAAATATTTAAAACTATGCAACAGATTTGGAAACAGTATTTTTTTAATAGATGGAGTGATTCAAGAGGAAGGTTTATATATATAGTACATATAGAAATTATATGTCACATTGTTTGTCCGCAATGGACTCCTAAACTACTGAACCGATTGCAAATATGATTTGCTCATTGTGTGCGATTGATTGATCCAACTTGAAAGATAGGATAGCTTACATCTCAAATTATAGTCGCAATATTATTTTATTCAAGATCCTTAGCCAAAGCAATGCATGGCCAGGTCTACTAGTATAATATATAACTGCTTATAGGATTTTACTTAAATTATATTCAAAACTCCATTGTCAGCCAAACAATTTAGAAATCAAACAACTTAACAGGGTAAACACATATTGTAACTCAATATAAATGTCATATCCATTATGAGATTCATTGAACAGAATTACAGAGAAAATTGTCATTCCAGAAACCCCAGATGAGATACAGAAGGAGGATAATATGTATTTGGAGATGAAGTCCACCAAAGAAGATGCTGCGCTGCTCTCAAAATATGCTCATGACGATTACATTAAGGTATGTAGATAATGAATGTAATCAAATCGTTAGTGAAAAGAAGAAACAATAATGGGCCCAATATAGAACCTTGCGGCACACCACGCTCAATTAATGTCAAATTTGATTTGACATTAATTGAGCATGACGATTACATTAAGGTATGTAGATAAAGGTTTATATGGTGATAGAGCAAGAACATAATATGACTTTTCCATTCTAAGTAAGTTGTAAGAGGCAATTAGGGCCCTCAGTGGACACTGCAAATTGAATAAACATATGATAAACCTAGGATATGCATAACAAAAATATACTACGACTACCAGCCTATGTGGTTGTAGCCCACTCATGCTTAAACGAAATATCTCCTTTGGAAAGTTTACACACTATCTTGGGGAGATAAAAACCATCACTCCTATGAATATCCTTGAACTCCTATCCCTGACGGCCAGGATGCGAGCTATGAAAAAGGGTTTAGTCATGGGTGTCGTATTTGAGTAGTGAGCTGCCTACCACAAAGAAGCGCCCCGGCCCATTGGGGGATAGAAATGGGGCGAAGTTAGGGTACGCTTCTGCCTCTAGGCCGGACTCTTCTGCAGCGTATTAGTGAAGCGGAAGGATCAAGATTTCCGCTCCCTCTCTGAAGCCTCCTACCGTGAGATAACTTCCTCATAGAAGGATCTTGCCGCCAGCCACGACCTGTCGCTACTCATTTGGTCATACTGGTTTATCTCTTAAGGCTTTAAAGGTGAGGAATATGGTTACGTGTACAGCTGGAGGACCAGTCCGGCAAGCCTGTGGAGATCCCGGGTCAGTCCCGCCGCGCGCTGCTGGTGGGGCTGGCGCTGCACGAGCGGGGCCGCGCCGCCGCCCGCCTGAGGGACCACGCGCTCGCGCTCGTGCTGCTGCTGGAGGCCGACCGACAGCTCAGGTGAGTTGCTTTGTTTTTAGGTCTCTCTTTACTTAGAACTCCTATTTCCTGACAAATAATGTCAGTAATTCATGACGACACTTGCTTGACCCATCCGATCGATCCCCCGTCCAATTCAAACGGGGACCGATGTTACGACGGCCTGAGCCGAGGTTGGACCCCCTAGCGGTGCCCTCAGACTAAAGTCGTATCCGTCAGGCGGGAGTTGGCCTTCAGCCGCTCGTCCTTTCCCGGGTTTGGAGTGCCATCTGCACTGGCCCCTATCGTCCGGTGAAGCTATAAGGCTAGCTGCGGCCAACAGCATTACAGTAGTTCGAAAAAAAACAGGAGATTTTTTAATTAATCACATAACAACATCCGGCTCGAAGGACCACTATGAACTATCTAATTACTGTTTTTTCTAATTATAAAATGAATCACCACTGAAACTAGGAAACTGTATTAGTATATAAAAAAAGTACACGTAGCGCCATCTAGCGAGAAAATATTGAATTAATCCCGACAATGATATTAGATTTATTACTATTTATTTAAACTTTATTCACCTCGTAACACGATCCGAATGAATGCTATTTGAACAAATACAATTTACATTTACACGAAGTTACAAGTGTCAACCAGCTTTGATCTCACGACCTTTTGACGTCGTAACCAATAAGCCACGACGCTTTAAAAGACACGAACAAACTAATATAAAGCCGAGTGTATACAGTGAGTGCAGTTCATCAATCTTGAAGTCCGTGGACAACTACGCGGCGCTGCAGCTGGACATAGCGTGGTGCTACCTGTGCCTGCAGAGCCTCTCCTCGGCCACCGACGCGGCGGCGCGGCTGCAGCGCGCGCAGGCCGCGCTCTACAGGATATACGGGGAGCGGCAGGGGACGCCCGAACTTAAGGGAACTCTTGGTGACTATTTTTTTTATTTAATTAGATTAACAAACGAGCTGAAATTCCATCCTCTTCAGATGGTGAACGGCAACTGAGGATAGCGGAAGTGAAGGAAACTCTTGGTATATAATTTTTATAATGGCAAGGGAACTCTCGGTATATAATTTTTATAATGGCAAGGGAGGTCTTGGTATGTAATTTTTATAATGGCAAGGGAGGTCTTGGTATGTAATTTTTATAATGGCAAGGGAAGTCTTGATATGTAATTTTTATAATGGCAAGGGAACTGTTGGTCTGTAATTTTTAAAATGGCAAGGGAACTCTCGGTAAGTAATTTTTATAATGGCAAGGGATTTCTTGGTATGTAATTTTAATATATAATGGCAAGGAAACTGTTGGCTGTTGGTCTGTAATTTCTATAATTACAAGTGAACTCTTTTAGCTGCGGAGCGAGTGCTGCTGATGCGACTGTACCTACTGCAAGGCATCGTAGCGTATCATCAGAACAAGAGGGCTGAAGCCAGGCAGTTGCTGGATAAAGCGGAGTCGGAACTTAATTTGTTAAGGGTGAGTAAGATGCGCTAAACCCTAAACTTCTTTCGTTCTTTTCGGACTACTCTAATGCTGTTGGCTGCAGCTGTCCTTTACAGCTTCCCCGGACGATAGAGGGCGAGTGCAGATGGCACTACAAACCAAAGGAAGGACTTATTGAGCGGCTGAAGGCCAACTCCTGTCTGACAGGTAGGAGGTTGGGTTGGGGAATTTTCTTTTAGGAAAAAAAAAATCTGTCATTTCTACCTGGTGTAAATTACTATGATATCATAATTAAACCTATAATTGAAGATAAAGAACAGTCGGTTGTCTGTGGCGTGGTGTATTACAATGTATACGTCAGCTAATAGTACACGCTTATTTCATATTTCTCACTATATTTCCCTCAATTTATATAATATCTTTTTAAACTATAGCGTATGTATTGTTCTGATGTACAAACTATATTACTGTAAAGTTTTATCATAATACGTTGTATAGTTTTTACTTGAAAGAGTAATAAACATTCACCCATACTCACAAAGTTTTGGATTTATAATATTCCTAAGGTTTTGTATAAATAAAATTGTCAGTTGGTGGTATTGTGGTGGGGTACTTGTTAGCTGCTGATATTTAATTAAGTGACAATTTCGCCATTGATAAATAAGCTCTATTACATCATAAGTTTAAAGTCCATTTCCATTATCTATCCCTTCCTCCGTGCGTATAAGTTTATTCTTGTAATCTATGGAGTTGTGTTTGTACTATAAAGAAAGGTCTCTATATTCGGAAACCTATAGTGTCGGCTCTCGGTTTCTTTGTGTTGTCGCTTATTTCGAGTAAGCGGATAGTATTAGCTCTTTCTTTCTATCACTTATTAATGTACTGTTTCTGTGTCGTGTCAAAAGTAAATCAATAGCATAAAGTTAAGAAGAATTGAAGAAATGCGACTCTGAAGTGGCAATGGGCAGGGCACATAGCTCGTAGGACAGATGGCCGTTGAGGCAATAAAGTCCTCGAGTGGCGACCACGGACCGAAAGACGCAGCGTGGGAAGGCCTCCAGCAAGGTGGACCGACGATCTGGTCAAGATCGCTGGAAGGCATTGGATGCGAGCAGCGCAGGACCGATCGTCGTGGAGATCTTTGGGGGAGGCCTATGTCCAGCAGTGGACGTCTTCCGGGCTGCGATGATGATGATGATATCGAGTTAGCTGTAATTACTCATGATATTTCTCAGTAGAGCAGCGTGGAAGTTCGACCTAACGGGGTCATAATACCCCATTACTAACGTTGTTCTCCCGTGCAGGTGGACGAGAGTTCAGTGTGCGCGCTGGTGGAGCTGGGCTGGTCGCGGGCCCAGGCGCGGGGCGCGCTGCGGGAGGCGGCCGGGGACCGCGACCGGGCGCACCTGCTGCTCGCCGCCAGGCGGGACGCTCGCCGACAGCTGCGGCTGCGGGCCAGGTACTGAGGCTCGAGGGGGCTGCGGGAGGCGGCCGGGGACCGCGACCGGGCGCACCTGCTGCTCGCCGCCAGGCGGGACGCTCGCCGACAGCTGCGGCTGCGGGCCAGGTACTGAGGCTCGAGGGGGCTGCGGGAGGCGGCCGGGGACCGCGACCGGGCGCACCTGCTGCTCGCCGCCAGGCGGGACGCTCGCCGACAGCTGCGGCTGCGGGCCAGGTACTGAGGCTCGAGGGGGCTGCGGGAGGCGGCCGGGGACCGCGACCGGGCGCACCTGCTGCTCGCCGCCAGGCGGGACGCTCGCCGACAGCTGCGGCTGCGGGCCAGGTACTGAGGCTCGAGGGGGCTGCGGGAGGCGGCCGGGGACCGCGACCGGGCGCACCTGCTGCTCGCCGCCAGGCGGGACGCTCGCCGACAGCTGCGGCTGCGGGCCAGGTACTGAGGCTCGAGGGGGCTGCGGGAGGCGGCCGGGGACCGCGACCGGGCGCACCTGCTGCTCGCCGCCAGGCGGGACGCTCGCCGACAGCTGCGGCTGCGGGCCAGGTACTGAGGCTCGAGGGGGCTGCGGGAGGCGGCCGGGGACCGCGACCGGGCGCACCTGCTGCTCGCCGCCAGGCGGGACGCTCGCCGACAGCTGCGGCTGCGGGCCAGGTACTGAGGCTCGAGGGGGCTGCGGGAGGCGGCCGGGGACCGCGACCGGGCGCACCTGCTGCTCGCCGCCAGGCGGGACGCTCGCCGACAGCTGCGGCTGCGGGCCAGGTACTGAGGCTCGAGGGGGCTGCGGGAGGCGGCCGGGGACCGCGATAGTTTCGCTGCCAGAAAGGTGACGAGAGTATGTATGAGAAATCTTTAAACCCTATCTCCCTGCCAAAAGGGTGACGAGGGGAGGTATGGGAAACCTCCAAAAGACCGTGTCCACGCCAAGACGGCGACAAGGGGATGTATGGGAAACTACTAGAAATGCCACATAATTTATAATGTTGCAGGGAGGAGCGTAAACTGGGCCTGTGCCGCGATGGGACGCCGGTGAGGCAGCAGCTGGTGGAGGGCCTGGTGGACATGGGGTACTCCCGGCGGCTGGCCAGCCGGGCCCTCCGCGCCTCCAACAACCACGCGGCGGAGGCCGTCAGGCTGATACAGGAGCAGCCGGAACAGGTGCCAATTCTCTATAACTTGCTTGCGATTAAAATACAACTGTTTCCGAAATTCCTAGTCTAAGCAGGTTGTATCACCGACTGGCTCACTGAAGCAGAGTGCGCTTGGTAATACTGACCACAAATATAAACGTGTGGCCACTTAAATATCGAATAAAGAAGAAAAAAACAATCGAAAATAAGAACTGGATGAAAAAAGACGCTCCGTAACGTAACGTAATTTTAACTTAAAATTATTGATTACACTTGAAACTACACATAGGGACGTTCCTGAGCAAAGGTGAGTAAGTTTGGTGTTACATTGCTTACCGTGTTCTATTATTATAAATATCTCAGGACAATTCACGTAGTGCCACCTAGTCCCAAACTCTATGAACGATACGAGGAATCGAACCCGCGACCGTCGATAGTAAGGCGGTGTAACCGCTAGGCCACTGAAGCCGTTTAAGAAGTAACTTGGATTAATTTTATTTTAGAAATTTACGCACAAAGTCGCGCGTAAAAGGTAGTAAATAATAACATTATTGTACCTGTTAAAACAGTAGTAGCAAATCTGCTGTGAGTAGTATAATGCTCAGTCACAGGCGCCATCCTCAACCACCACTGGTCGACGTCAAACCTAGCGTCGATGACGGCATCAGTCAATCGACCAGTGAGAAGCACCGCTCATCACGCGACACATATGAGTACCAATAAAAAGGGTGGATACTCCACCCCTATGTAATTTAAAAAACGTTAAGTTGTTGCAATAAACGCTTCATGAGAAGAGGTCACAGTTTCATTTAAAACACTCTTCCTTTACAAAAAAACAGATTAACAGTACCTGTAATTATTGAAGCTTTTTAAAATTGTTTTTACTTTAACATATATTGTTATAGCTGGCTGACAGTGAGGATTCATCTGAGGAGACGGGACCAACCAGCTCAGAAGCCTCCCTGGTGGAGCCAGACAACAAATTGATTGCTGAGGTAACATTATTTATTTATTTATTTATTTACATCGTACTAAGTGAGCTTAACAGTGTCCCAATATGCCCACTTAGGAAGATATACAAATACACACAATTATAAACACTAATTACACAAGAAAAACAAAAGAGAAAAAAAAAACAATAATAATAATAATAATACGTAATCTCCATTTAACATACTACCTAAATAATCTACTGCCATCCTACGAAACTCCAGCAAATTACAAGTAAATATATCTAGATCTGGAAAGCGACTAACTACACCGTTGAGTAGACTCAATGCCAGAGAAATAGGAGCCTGTTTGGCCAGCTCTGTTCTGTTGTTTATATATACATTACCTGTGTCCACGTTTTCAGCCGTTTAAATTTCAATTAAAAATATAGCCCAGATGTTACTCCGATGCTTAAGCTATATTACTGTAAAGTTTCATCAAAATCCGTTCAGTACTTTTTACGTGAAAGAGTTACAAACAAACTTATATATTTACACCAGCTTCAGGATATAGGATAGCTTATTTAGGATATAGGATGGACGCGTCCATATCGCCTTAAATTAATTGTAGTGTGAACGTTGCTAAGTGTGAAAGAATGAATGAATGACATAAGAGTGCGGAGTGAAAAGGAGTGATTGAGAGAATAGACTTTGTTTAGAAGTCTTAGTATTAAGTACTAGACGTACCCGTGACTTCGCGACTGCGGTATATGTACCGCGTAAATTATCGATACTTCCATGTAACCAGATGACAATTATGAGTAGCTATGACGTGGTCTAGTGTTTTGAGTAGTCATGCTCACTAAAATGTCCAGACTTGTGGCGGCGTGGTGGGCCCGGTCATTGGACTCCCTAAAATATGGTCGAGCGCAGTGATGGCTGCCTCATCCGTCATACTCGTGAACGGGTGCTGCTTGTAGGGACTGGTCTGTTCTAATCACTATGACTGATTTCCTCTTATTAATTGTTTAACCAGTTGTGTATTCAATATTTTTTTCTATTTGATTATTTCATTGAATTAGTGCTCGATTAGCACTAATTCAATGAAATAAGTAGTTTGTATTCACAAAGTTAAACTTAAATTGTAAAGTAAGAATAAAATTATTTAAAAGAGCAACACACAAATTTCTTGCTCGTTCTTCTTGTGATGAGACAGCTTTCCGAATGAGCGGTAGATTAAAAAAAATGTGATGACTATTCAAAAGTGCTTCAATGTAAGTTTATTTGAATGAATGATTTTCTATTCTATTCTATTCCTATCATCTCCCCTTTCAACTCCTTACAACCCTTTTTTCTGATAAAAAAGTAGCCTATGTCCTTTCTCAGGTTCTAGACTACCTGTGTACCAAATCATTTAAATCGGTAAGACAGACAGACAGAGTTACTTTCGCATTTATAATATTAGTAAGGGTAAAATTGAGTAACGAGCTAAAGGAGTTTATTCTAAAAATCATGTAATGTATAGTATTCGTAATAATGTTAATTATCACCTTGTATGTAGCTAGAAACGATGGGATATGACGTAGAACAGGCGCGGGCGGCTCTACGGATGACCAACAATGACGTCGACCAGGCGGTCGACGTGCTCGTGGCTGGTGGAGGGCGCGTCAGTGACGGTCAGTCAACGTCAATCAACATTCATTTATTTTACTATGATGGTGGCTATTAAGCATACAGACCATCTGATGGTAAATGGTTATTTTTACAACACAGGGGACAAACGAGCATGCGGCTCACCTGATGGTAAGTGATTACCACCGCCCATGAGCACCCTAGGTTAACAGCAGCAACGCCAGGTTAATTGCCACTACGTTGTCGGCATTTTAAAAAGGAATACGCTCTTTTCTTGAACGTTTCAATATTATCGGTTCTGAAATACCATTTCTGGAAGGTGATTACACAATATGGTTGTGCTTGGCAAAGAGTTTCTGGAAAACCGCACTGTGGAAGACCGCCATTCATCCAGATGATCAGGATGGTATTTCAGTTTCTGGCGGGTGGTACGGTGGTGAAACTCAGCAGCTGGTATTAATCCGAACAATTCCTCAGAACACTCCCCGTGATATATGCGGCAGAAAAAGCACACAGATGCAAGAACTTCCGCAAAATCAATGGGTCGAGTCTGTCACAAAGACGTTGATTACCAATGATTCTGACTGCTCGGTTCTGAATACGGTCAAATGGAAGTAGCTGGTATTGTGGTGCTCTCGCCCAGAGATGAGAACAGTATTCCATATGCGGCCGGATCTGTGCCTTGTATAATTGCAAGCGATGGGCCGCCGTGAAATACCGTCTTACTCTACTGAGCACACCTAACTTTTTTGAGAATATTTTAGCCTTGTCTCCAAATGACCGCAAAACTGAACGTCACTGGATATATCAACGCCAAGGACCTCGAGATTTGGCTTCACATAAAGGAGAGTGTCTTGAAACTGAGGAGATACGATAAATAGATTCTTTTTAGCGATAAACGTGCACACTTGTGTCTTTTTGGAGTTGAATTGAACAAAACTTTTCTGAAACAATTTTTTTATAGTTGCAGCAAATACTGCGAAACCATCCACCAGCGCAGCGACGTCGAGTAAGAAGAAAGAAAAGACACACAGAAAAAATAAACGGTAAGACCTTACTACCATGACTTAGAGTTCTAAATTCGATGATCGACTTCCACTTAACACTTGGGCATCATAATCAAAATTAATAATATACTCGTATATAAAACAATATCGTCACCGTTATCTTTTCACTTACATCTTTTAAATTAATCAACAAATTTTAATGCAGTTTTAGCAAGGATTATACGCTTAATACATTTTAAACTGATCGGGCTGAGGCTTTGCATGCATAAAGCTAATGACGTAGGCATCCCCTAACAAAGGATTTTGATAAATTCCACCCCTAAGGACGGGGAGCGAGCGAAGCCGCGGTCATAAGCTAGTCCCTGTATAACACATATAATATTTTATAGGTTTTATTTTTGTATGCTTATGACGGCTTCAGTGGCGCCTCAACAGTTTAATGCAATGGTCTAGCGATTTAGCACACCGCTTTACTTCCGAAGGTCGTGGGGTAGATTCCTCTACGATGCAAACATTTGTATTACTGAATATTATTCCAGGTTTCTATGTATTTACAAGGAGATAAAATTCTGTTTCGAAAAAAAAACATATTTTAATATAAAATCGTTTTTGAATATTGTGTATTTATTATATTTTATTTATTTTTATTATGATGATGATGATGATTTATTTTGTATCGGGTGCATCATTTTATATCCATAGCACCGCTCGCTATCGACAGGGAATTGAACCCCACACGCTAGAACCTAAGTGGTCTCGGACAGTGCGGTTTCAGAGGAGCTTCCTCCCGCGTACACTTACATTGTGGAATAACCTGCCGACGTTTTCTCACTACTACAGCATGGGGTTTTCAAGAAGTTTTCTTAAGGGTCGGCAACGAGCACGTAACACCCCTGATATTTCAGGCGTCCATAGGCTACAGTAACCACTTACCATCAGATGGGCCGTATGCTTGTTTGCCACCATAGTGGTATAAAAAAAATCTTATAATAAAATGTTTTACAGCAAAGAAGAATGTGAATTGGCACTCAAGAGGCTATCATCAGCGATCAGGACAGAAGAAGACGATCACTTGGATACCTCGCTGGCTGAGGAAGAGGAGTTTCTCGCGCAGTACAAGTCTCTTTTGTAAACGTGAAAGTTATTGAAATTATTTTTTTTAAACCATATTGTATCGAACTAAGGAAATTTATTTATTTATTTATATTTTTTCACACAAAATTGTGTGTGGCTTAATGTATTCTCTACTTTAAGTTGAAAATTATATAGTGCAATATCTAAAATAGATTTAGAGTCAACTTGTGACGTTTTTGTTATGAAGCTGTGTGTTTTAATATATGTAAGTACGTGCCTAAATGTGTTACCTAAGTACAAATAATGTTACTTAAAATTATATAAACTTGTTAGAAATAAAGGTATATTTATACAGTGTGTATATATTGTTTTATTTGTAATAGTAATCATCTTTATTTGTCTTAAATATAATAATAAACCACCGCGCTACAAAACGATGAAATAATTAGAAATAGTAGCACAACAATTAATCAGTATATCTGCAGAAGAAGCCATTTTTTCTAGTCTTTTATTTTCCCGCGCAAATGTAATGCGCCACAGATGCACAATACAGCACGGCGCTTGGAGGCAGTAGAATAACGAGTGCGTGATGGCTGTATGCGGCGATTAAATAGAAAATTTCAAAATTAGAAGCTACAATTGCCTCCTTTTATATAAGTCGAAACTTTAAATGCTTGTCTACAAGACAAGACAAAAATGTACATTTTGAATACTGCCATTTTTCTATTTAACCGATGACTAATATAAATATTAATAGTCAATTTAAATGTCTTTTAACGTTTTTAATGAAATTATGATTATTATGTGAAACATCTTTATTGGTATAAATTAATTATAGTAACAAAATTCATATATACATACACATATGGTAAAATTCAATAGATGTAAATGTCACTTATCTATGAATTGATCACAAATTATTTATTAATATAGTTGAAGAGTCAGTTCGTGAACACGGCTAGTGCGACCTAATCAAAACGTCGAGAGAAATAACCTTTATTTACCATAAAAAAAATATGGTAAAATCCGTTTAAATATTTTAATAATGTATAAATGGCAAAAATGTTTTAAACGCAAAACATAAAAATAAAAAAAAATATGTTCCATATTAAAAATATTTAATTAAACTCTATCCGATATTAGGTGGCTCTCTCATGTTCATTGTAACATCCTCCAATGTTGCTCCGCAAGTGTAAACCGTTAGCGCAGGCAGGTGCACCATTCCATTATCATCCACTAAAAAAACATGAACACTACGGAATGGCAACGCATGAGTGGTACCACCACTCTGGTTTTCCAATCTTAAATGCATCTTATTAATATAAATGTTCATAAAAACTTCAAACGTCATTATAATTACTTGAATTAAAGTTCTACGTCCTAAAATGTCACCACAATACTCTCCGCCCGGAAATTTACTTATTTACAATAAACTCTAAGAACATCACGTCATTCTTTATATACTCCAACTTGTCCAGACTTGTGTGAGGGAAGAATATGTACTGCCTTTTGAGCTGCACCACGCTCTTATCCAGAGCTTCGTTGGACTTGGAGATGTCGTCTTCTTCATCATCTGAATCATGGCGGCTTACTGCTGATTTGCGCCGGACTTGTAATGTTTTTACTATATCCATTGCCTGTAAAATAGACTGTTCTTTAGGAGTAAGCTTTAAGAAATCTTTAAAAGCTTTAGAAACTGCAACAAGATGGTCGATAGTGACTTTTTTTATTGGAGGATTTGGGATACTGTCAGGTGCTTGGACCTGTTCCACTGCGACCTACATAGATCTATTGTGCTCGCCTTTTTTCAGAGTTCGCTACCTAGACCCGTGAGGGACAAGAATTGAAGAATATTTTTAGGAGTGATGCTCTCGCGCTGCCAGTCATTTGACTCGCGTATGAAAAACGACAATCGCGGGATCACCGGGCAGCGCGAGTGGCAGCGCCAATGGCATGGGAAGTGTTTCCACTCGTGTTTACACTCTCGCGCTGCTCACTTCCCTGCCCACTTGGGCTGAGTGTAAATATGACATTACCTGTTTCCTATTAGCGGGCTGGTCTTTCATCACTATATTAACAGTTATATCACACGGCCACTCGAGCAACGGGTCGTAGGGTCCCATTACGAGCCGCACCGTGCAAGTTATGTGGCGACCTTTCCACCGTCCTATGCCATTCAGGTGCACCTCCGCCTGGAAACATTTTTTTTCTTTTATCTCTTTATTTTGACACATAGTCATTAAAAAGTTATATATACATTATTACTAAAAAACAAGACATTTAGTGTTGAAACTTAGTTTAACAATAGTATTAACTAAAAAAAACGCTATATACCTATATATATCTTTAAATATATTTTTACCTTCAAAGTGTACCCGAATTTACTCGTTCTGAAATGAGCACTTGAGAGCACTGTATTATTCTCCTTGGCATCTTTCATTCTGGATAGGAATTTGTCTATTCGCCATATAAAATGCCCTGAAAATAAGTACAAATATAGACTATTTACACATGGTCAGTATTGTAATGTTTTTATTTTATGTTATACTATACAAAAGTGCTTATAACTATGTTATGTGTGTTATAACCGTATACCATCGGATGGGCCGTTTCCATCTGCATAGTATAAAAAAAATGTGTAGTAAAAGTTACCATTGTCACTTTTGGTGTCGTGTCTTTCAAAGCTGACCCTCGTCTGGAAGTCAGCGAGCTCGCTGCGCAGTTTGTGGTAGGACTTGGTGAGGGCCCTCATGTCTCTCAAGACTATGTCCATCTTGGCGGCGTGCTCGGCCGCCTCCGCTCGGGCATCCGCTGTTGCTACCTCTAATATTGCTAGTCGATCTATTGCCTAGAAAGAAAACATTTACAACTTAAATCCAAAGTGGGGTGTTTAGACATCGTCAGCTTGAGTAGAGTCTGCGAGCGATGCTGGCGAGCGGCTTGAGAGGAGTGCGAATAGAATATTGTATTTTTTTATTTTAGTGTACTGCAATCTGTCACAATTGAACATTAAGTAGTATGTTTGTTGGGTTCTTGTCATGGCATGCTCAGTATGTGTCACACATCCTACTTTACATGTACCCTACTTATTTGATAAAGTCCTGAGGTATTTTGCGTTTCAGTCTGCGACCAGTTTGGCTCACATGCATTAGTGTCTTTGCTAAGCGGTTGGGATGTTTTTTTATTCTTTCCTTGTATGATTTTCTCTTATTTAACTATTATAAATTGTAGTAATGGTCTCGTAAATTTTACGAGAGAACGACTCGCGCGCCCTAAATTGTATTTATTTCATTGTCTGTGCTACATATATTTAAATGGTATAAAGTTCATACATTAAATTGACTTTGAAGTTTACTAGTTTTAATCGTCCCATTCTCACTATTTAATACGAGCGACGAGATACCGATATTTGTGGAAGAATTTCTGAATATTTTTGCCCAAATATCAGTTAGCGGAAGAGCTATATGCGAAAAAAAGAATGTCTAGTCCACGAAAGCGTGGAGGATTTGAGGTGGACGTAGATATCTATATCAGTATTTCCTTACGGGTCTATTAATATATATGTAATTCTTCATAAATCAACATTTAGACAGGAAAGGAGGTAAAAGTAATAGGGATAAGAAGATATAAGTATAAATACATATAGATATCAGCCATTATTTTCTTACCGGTCTGTCTGATGTAGAAGCAGACTGCAGCTGTTCTCTCAGAGCTGATAAATGTGCCAACTGCTGTGACGATCTGCGTGCCTCAATCAACTCCGCTTCTAGAACTGCACGGCTCTCAGAATTCCTCTCCCTTTCCTCTTCCACTGTTTGTCTTAAATATTCTATCACGTCCTCTGCAAAATTCAATACAATTTTTATAATGTTATTTAACTTTTTGGATCAATATTGTTAAGATACCAATCACCAGAAAGCTGATTGTTAATAAATTGAAATGCCCTTCTTCCGTCCGTTATCTTATGCCCTATGATTGATGGGGATAAATTTACTATAGCAAATCCTACTAAATCCCAAATGGTACAAATATTCCAAAATCGTGTAGACGATGATTGGTTAAGGCGTGTAAGCATAACAAATATTCATAATTACTAACGCATTTATTGGTTAAGAGTTATAATTTATGAGTCAATGTAATTAATCATGGATGTCTGTCTGTATTTATTATTTACAGTATAATGCATAGTACATAGGTACAATTGACATGACAATGATATCTGATATAAAAATGTGCACTTACATTTTTATATCAGATATCATTGTCATAGTCGTTCGAGAATCTTCTTATTAGCTGACTGACAGTTAGCTGATTCAACAAATGTTCTTTACCAAACCCTTACTACAGGAAAAAACGCAGATCCCAAACAAAAGAAACATCAGGATAAAAATCTAATCTTTTAAACTGGACTTAATCACACACAGCGAGTCAAACAAAATTTGGTTAAGAGGTTTCAGAGTTTATCCCGGACAAACATTTCAGGCTATTGTGAAGCGATGATACCAAGATAAACTTACTCAAAAAGGACAAACTATTCTCGGGATATTGCGGGGTTTTATGGTATATTGCCAGAGTCTGTGTATCACCTGTCAGAAATAAAAATTCAAATGCCATTTACATCCAGAGGGAGACTAGAAGATCGCCTGTGAGAAGAACTACCCCAATCTGGAGTCAAGAAGTTTTTTTGTTTAGTTTGAACTCTTATATAAATTAAAAAGTAAAATTATAGATCCTTAGTCTGACACGGACTACAAAATACATCTAAGCAATGGTTACCCTTTTCTACCTGGTAAATTACAAGAATCGTGTATGACTTGTTAAGTGAAAATCTATACATATAAATAAAACTGGAGTGTCAGTTTGTAATATTGAAATAACCGATTTTTTACTACATGCATATGAATATAAATACGGTACATACACTAAAATAACATTTTTTACAATTTTTGTCTGTCTGTCTGTTTGTTTGTTCTCTGAAATGGCTGGATGGATTTCGACGGAACTTTTTTTGGCAGGTAGCTGATGTAATAAGGAGTAACTTAGGCTACTTTTATTTTAGAAAATTAAAGTCAAATTCTACGCGAACGAAGTCGCTGGTATAGCTAGTTATAAATAATGTTATTAATCTGATCAGATCGGGTCTTAATTCTACAAATGTAATAACTGTAACATCACAAACATCTATACAGTGACGACCTAGATGGTCCCAATTAGTGGTACGCGTACCCCCAGGGGTACATGCTCTTATCAGTAAAAACAAAAACAATTTCCAAAATATTATTTTATAACGATCGTCGTCGTAAAAGCACAGAGCACCGAGCACTATGACCGACCGTGCGCTATCCTGCGCCTGCCGCATCTCGTCATTCAGTGCCCCCGCCACCCGTCACCCGTCCCCCCCCCCCGTACCTGGACCCCGTCCCCCCTCTTCGTTTTGTTCCCGCAGACGTTTGAGCGTGAAGAAGTAACAAACATACACACACACTCACAAACTTTCGCATTTATAATATTAGTGTGATTGCTACAATAAGGGGTACGCAAGGTTTGAGGTCTTTTTTGAAGTGGTATACAGCAATAACTAATTGGGAACCACTGGTCTAGTGGTTTGCAATTGAATCAGAAGTATAGGCAGGTCAGTAGTATCTAAATAGTGACATACCCAGCTTGTTAACTGCCCTGATCCTATTGTCATGATGTGTCAGCGCCTGCTCCAGTAGTTCTCTCTCACTCTGCTCGTGTACCAGCTGGTTGGTGGCACTCTCTAACCGCATCGCTGTGTTCAACTGCTCGTTTTGCATTTCCTGTAATTAAATTATTATGTACGTTTACATTCAGCCGCTTCCCCTGCCACTCGCACTGCCTGAAAAATTGCCGGGCGACAACTGAGCGAGAGGGCTGAATGTAAAAACACGCTGCCACTCGCGCTGCCAGTCCTTTGACTCGCGCACGAAAAACCGACAATCGAGGGAGCGCCGGGCAGCGCGAGCGGCAGCGGTGGTGGCATGGGAAGTATCGAGTTTACACTCTCGCGTTGCTCACTTCCCTGCCCACTCGGGCTGAGTGTAAATTGGGCATAACAAGAATGCTACTGAATTAAACTACTATTAAGAAGGATTATTAATAATAAATTAAATAAATAATAATGACGATAATGGACGATTAACACAGCGCCATCTAGTCCCATTGTAAGCACAGCTTGTGTTAGGGGTATTGAACAACTGATATAAATAGTTATTTTTAAACTTTCATGTTTAATATACATTGTTTAAGTTATTAACCGGGTCTTTGGACATTTTTATATGTTTATTTTTCTATCAATCTTAGATGTATTTTCTACAACTATCATATTTTTTTATTGTCACTTTTTATTTATTTATTTATTCTTTTGCACACAAAAATGTATACATGGCGGACTTAATGCCTGATGGCATTCTCTACCAGTCAACCGTCGCGTTGATCAGAGATAATAAAGCGGTGCATTTTAATAATTAATTGAAAGAAAAAAGAAAAACAAAAATTATAACAAACACTTTTTGTCTTAAATCCGTTTGTACACGTATCTTAATTATTTACAATTTTCTATCCATTGTTTGATTTATATCACACATACAGTCCATTCTTTATTATGATAGCCTCGGTGGTCTAGTGGTTTAGCACACCGCTTTACTATCCGATGGTCGCGGGTTTGATTCCTCGCACGGTACAAACATTTGTATTCATGAGTATGATTGTTTGTATCAGTCTAGGTGTTTCTATGTATAATATGCATTTATTTAAAAAAAATGCATCCATGTATTTATATCAGTTGTCTAGTACCCATAACACAAGCTCTGCTTAGCTTAGGACTAGATGGCGCTGTGTAAATTGTACTGAGATATTATTATTATTATTATTCATTCTATCGCCCACATTTTGGTCCTACATCGGTAGAATTCCAACATTTACAAGTTACACTTTGCTTAGCTTGAGACTAGATGGCGTTGTGTGAATTGTCCTGATTAATAAAAAGGATATATTATACTAAAAAAAAATACCTGCAGTGCCAACTGAACGTTAGCCAAGTCATGTTTGAATTGTGCAGAAAAATCCGTCGTCCTTTCCGATTCATCATCAACGGTGGCTCTGATCGCCACCAGTGTGGTGATGAAGTGTTGGGTTCGTTCCTCAATTAGCAGTAACTTGGAGCGCAGATTCTCGATATCTGTCCCTTGGAGGTCTCGTTTACTGGCTTGTTCTGCTAGTGCCACTCTGAAAGTATAGATTGAATGTATTTTGAGATCTTTTTATAGCATAGCGGTTATCTCTATACAAAAATAAATAAAATTGAAGTTTGTAATTTCTAATTAACAGATTTTAATTAAATGCATAGAATAGAAAATCATTTATTCAAATAAACTGAATTTAAGCACTTTTGAATAGTCATTAATTTATTTATCTACCGCTCGTTCGGAAAGCTGTCTCATCACAAGAAGAACGAGCAAGAAACTTGTGTATTGCTCTTTTAAATAATCCTTGTAAGTTTACATTTACAAGTCGAAACGTGTGAATACAAACTACCAACCAGCACAATTTTTTTTGGGTCAAATATAAATATACAATAAGATTAAATTAGTCGTAGTGATAAGAGCAGACCAGTCCCTACGAGCAGCACTTGTTCACGAGTATGACGGATGAGCCAGCCATCACTGCGCTAGGGAGCCCAATGACCCGGCCCACCACGCTGCCACATGTCTGGACATTTTAGTGAGCATGACTACTCATTCCACTCGACCACGTCACAGCTACAAAAATTACTATATGGTAGTTACAGTATTCGCACTTTACATGAGGATACATGCGGCAATCAATACAATACTGTCATATATCAAGAAAGTTGTCCACATATGAAAGTATATATTTATATACATTACTTACAATTCATTTTTAACAAATGCAGAGTCCTACAGAGCTCTATTGACCCATCCTGCTAAGACCTATCAGCGTTCCCACATTTTCCACCAGCGTATACAATTATCTCAGTGAAGGGGAGAGGGGATTCTTAGTAATGGAGCCTGTTGACCCCATAGCTAGCAATGTACAATTGAGTGGAGGAGCCACGCGGTCTCCCCTGGTAACCATCATGATAAATTTCTGATGAATTTGTCAAGATAGACTAACTGACTTGGCCTCATAACCATCCTATCATCCTCTACTGGTGCCCCACCAGCGTAAACCATTAGGGTAGGAGGGTGCACCATTCCATTTATATACATTAAAAAATATTACAGATTGACCATCTGTAATATTTTTTAATGGATATAATCGTTGGTTGGTTGGAGGCCACGTGAATCCCCCTGTAGACCATCATGACAAATACTCCACTAGTGTGGTGGATAGTATTATATGTATTGTTTGTATGTCGGTACTTTATGTGCAGAAAGCTATTGCATCTGAGTAGATGCAATAGCTTTCTGTACGTAAAGAACCGACCCGAATCGATGAGATTTTATTTTACTCTTTTTTGCATCGATTTATTTTACATAATTATAGAGTTATAATTATGTAAAATAAATCGATGCAAAAAAGTGTAAAATAAAATCATATATTTTCTTATATCACAAAATTAACAAGTCAAATTTATACAATACTTTTTATAGGTAAAAAAGGCTTTTGAGTGGCCAGCAATATACTACGAAGTCCACAACAACTAGTGCCCCGCCGGCGTAAATCATTAGCGCAGGCGGGTGCACCATTGTGTACCTCATTATCGCAGGCGCGCCATTCCAATATCATCCTACAAATAACCCTTTAATACAAGTTTCAAATCTGCTCAACGGCAGAAATAAGAAAAGGCACTTACTTGATGGCGTCGATTTCTTTCTCTAGTCGCGCTATTCTATCGTCCGGCACAGGGGTCCATGTGTGAATGGGTGGCTGTGGACTCCACGTCCTTTCGTATGTTTTTGTAGTCTGCAATATGAAAATTTAAAGTATGCATTACATGTAATATTATGTTATCTGTGGTATTACTATCTAAAACGACATATGTTATATAAATATATATAACTCAAAGGTGACTGACATAGTGATCTATCAACGCACACCCCAAACCACTGGACGGATCGGGCTGAAATTTGGCATGCAGGTAGATGTTATTTATACATAGATTATACAATTTATACATAGATTATTATACCAATAATCTATGTATAAATTATACATAGATTATTGGTATTATTGGTATAACATCTATCTCTCTCAGTAAATATTCTTTCTGCTGTCCTTTCTTTCTTATTACTAAATTGTCGCCTTCATAATTGCATATATGTTGCTGTGTACCTATACTCGTATATATTTGTATTATATTATTGTATATTTATTTTATAAGTTATGTATTTATATATTATGTAGAATGTATATGTTTATAATATGTATTATTTTATATATTAATATTATTAATGTTTCTACTCCATCATGCGCCATCCACCACCTTCTGTCTTTTCTCCTCTACCCAAAGGTTGTCTGGAAGAGATCACATAAGCGATAAGACCGCCTTTTGTACCCATATACTAAATATTGTTTTCGTTTGTATATGTTTTTTTTTTTGTTATTATGGTGCAATAAAGAGTAATAAATAAATAAAATAAATAGATTATTGGTAAATATCTGTAAAAACGTGTATTTATGTGTATTGGTATTATTGTTTATGGATAATAAGGGAATAGTGCACCCGCCTGCGCTAACGGTTTACGCTGGCGAGGCACCAGTGGAGGATGATAAGATGAGCATGACGCCAGGTCATTTAGGCCATCGTGACAAATTCACCATGAATTTATCACCATGGTTTCCTGGGGGAACCGCGTGGAGGTCAACCTGACATGGTACATTGCTAGCAATAAGATCATCAGTCCACATTACTGACAATCCTCTGGCCCCCCGATGTATATAGGTAAGTATTAAGAAAACTGAGCGATATCTTGCCAACAAACTGTTCTGCAGTTTGGCGAATCAATGTGTAAAAATGTACTTATCTTTTTATTAAATAAATAAATAAAATGTTGATAATATTGTTTTTTTTTAATATGATAGCGTAGCGGTTTTGTATTGATTGCCGCATGCATCCTTATGTAAAGTGCGATACTAAGACTACCATATGGTAATTTAGAAATTATGACGTGGTCGAGTGGATTGGTGGTGGCGTGATGAGCCGGGTCTTTGCACTTCCTAAAATATAGTCAAACGCAGACGGCTGACTCACACGTCATACTCGTGAACGAGTGCTGCTTGTAGAGATTGGTCTACTCTAATCATTACGATCGTTTTAATCGTAGTGTATTTAATATCTGACCCTAATAAATTAGTGATGAGTTATGATTATACCCTGTCTTTCTTCCGGCATTCCGTCACGTGGCTCTCCTTGTGTTTCCTCTGTATCCAGGCGCCACATCGCAATGGGCACTCCTCCAGGATACTTCCACAGTCTTTCAGGTGTTGCTGAGAATGCAAAGCAAAACATAAACTTAGTATTATAAAAAAACAATTGTTTAATTTAATAATTTGAAATTAATTTAAAGAGGGCGGTATTTTAATTATTTTATTTTTATTTGTTTTTGACAATTCACACAGCGCCATCTATCCCCAAGTTACGCTATCTAAAGCTTGTGTTACGAGTACTAGATAACTGATACAATTACATAGATAATTTTTTTTCGTAAATAGATACATATTATACATAGAAAACACCCAGACCGATACAAACAATCATACTCATGAATACAAATGTTTGTGCCGTGCGAGGAATCGAACCCGCGACCATCGGTCGTAAAGCGGTGTGCTAGACCGCTAGACCACCAAGGTCGTTAAAGTAGTAGTATTGAGCTAGTATTGTGATAATTTTAATAAAAGTGCAATTTATCGTTATCATCTCGAGTGGATAGTTTGTTTATGACGCTCTACTATTTCGAATCATTACATAGTATAAAATAAAGTCGCTGAATATAATGCGTAGGAATAAAGATCATGTTTTAAGAAAGGTGTTACATATGAACGAAAAAGAGATGGATGGACTGTGTGAAAGATGATAGGGTAAGAAAAGAAGTAAATAAAATAAAAAAATAACGAGATGTAAAATTATATATTAATAATCTTAAATAATAATCCTAAAACATTATATACTGCGAAATAAAATTTAAAAAAAAAATGAACAGAAAAAATTTTATTGCACAAAAAATTCAATATAAACAATGGATATTTTATTCAGTGCAATGTAAAAAATTCAATATGTATTCTAATAACGGAAGTATTAAAAAAAAAATATCCAGAAAAACATATTACGACCACAAATAAATGGGATAAGGAAGAAGCAGATGATGACATGTTCTTGCTCGTTCTTTTTGTGATGAGACAGCTTTCCGAACGAGTGGTAGATAAAAAACAAATTGTTATGACTATTCAAAAGTGCTTAAATTAAGTTATTAGTAACAAATATATAGACTCATTATTATGAGACGACTTTCACTAAACTGGCACAAGTTATATTACCAATTCCAACCAGTACGAAAGTAACACTGTATATTTTTTCGGACTACTCTGATGCTGTTGGCCGCAGCTGGCCTTTACAGCTACCGGACGTTAGGGGGCGAGTGGAGATGGCACTCCAAACCAAAGGAAGGACTTATGGAGCGGCTGAAGGCCAACTCCTGCCAGACGAATACGACTTGATCTGAGGGCACCACTAGGGGTTCGAACCTCGGCTCAGGCCGTCGTTTGAATTGGACGGGGGATCGATCGGAGGGGTTCAGTAACACTATATATGTCAAGCAATCGTTAAAAACGGTCCACAATAAAAAATCTACATCAGTTGTCTAGTACCCATAACACAAGCTTTGTTTACTGTGGGACTGGATGACGTTGTGTTAATTGTGCAGGATTTATTTTTATTATATTTTATTAATTACTGGCTACTCGCCCCGGCTTCGTACGGGTGTACATGTATTATATATATAAACCTTCCTCTTGAATCACTCTATCTATTTAAAAATCCGCTTCAAAATTCGTTGCGTAGTTTTAAAGATTTAACCATACATAGGGACGGACAGACAGCGACAGCGACTTTGTTTTATATTATGTAATGAAGATGAGGGATGAAAGTTTGTATGGAAATTCGTCATTCAATGTATATGCCATGCAGATCAAGTTTCGTGGGCACAGTGTTTCCCAAAGTGTGGCCCACGATTTGAAAACTGAATTAAAATTTCATTTCATTTATTGTTTCAAGAACAATTTCCTAGTGATTTCTTCCTAACACCTATTATTTAAGTTTCTCTAGTGAACAATTAAATTTTTTAAATTTAAAATATATATTTTTCATTTTCGAAAGGATAAGGATTAAATGAAAAAAAAAGAAAATACATTTTAAGATTAAAAAAAATAAATGTACACTAGACAAACTGAAATTTTTTTTTGCACTAAAAACGTGGAAAACTCTTTCCCTGTTTATGTACTTACAACGACGTAAAAAAATATATTTCAGACATATAACAGATAAGCCCAATAGCTGCGATAAGAAAATACATAGAATTATTGGTGATAGGTAAACGCATGTACATACAAACATTCTGAAGCGTAGATAGGAAAAATATTCGTGAAATGCGAGGTGAGATAACGCTCTGAAATGTCCATATTGTTCTGTTACAACACAAATACTGGAAATTAAAAATAAAATTAGTTACTCATTTGTATCATCGTTCCCTTGCCTTTATTCAAATTCAAAAATCATTCGACCTCAGTGGTCTAGCGGTTTAGCACACCGCTTTACGACCGATGGTCGCGGGTTCGATTCCTCGCACGACACAAACATTTGTATTCATGAGTATGATTGTTTGTATCGGTCTGGGTGTTTTCTTTGTATAATATGTATGTATTTACGAAAAAAAATCTATGTATTTGTATCAGTTATCTAGTACCCATAATACAAGCTTTAGCTAGCTTAACTTGGGTTTAGATGGCGCTGTGTGAATTGTCCTGAGATTATTATTATTTAATCATGTAGGACATTTTAGCCGCTCATGAACGTAAATTTTTTTATATTATAAGTTTTTCTCTACCATCCAGTTCAGTATATAGAACCAATTGAGAAGAACTGGTAAGAAACTCAATTGAATTACATTTTTTTAAAGTTAATTTATTTATGATGTATATTTATTTGTGTTTATGTCTACATAATTACATTAAATGAAAATCGAATTATCACATTATTTAAATGAAATATATTAACATTTAGTTTTTTCTGTATATAAACTGTAAGTATATCAAAAATTCATATACCACCGTCTGAGTAATTTCTATTTGATATTAAAATATTATTAAGTTATTCATTAAAACATCTTTTTAATTAATTTGCCTGAAGTTTACTCAACTGGAATAACTATAATACATGAATAAAGATATGTTAACTTGATTTAAATAATAATTAGTTATGTTTATAATTAAAATATGTTTTTAACTTTAATTAAACATAACTAATTATTCCCCAACTCGAAAAACTACAAAATTTCGATTTAATTTGTTTTGAATTAAAATAATATTTTAATTTAAATTAAAAATTTTTTTTTAGTTATTACCTGGTCAAGTATGAATATAAAACCTTCACGATCTTGTAACTATATTTTACTTTTTATTTATATAAAGCATCGAAATTCGAGATTTAAAAACTATTAATTTCATAAATTTTAATTCAAAATATCTTTATTCATGTTGGTCTATTACACTCTTATATGTCAAATCTACCGTCAGTCCGGAATGATTTCGAGATGAGATGAGAACAACTGACAAGAAACTCAGATCGTATTCTTTTCAAATAAATGTTGTACATGTTTACAGTAACACAGATTAATTATTAAATTCAAACTTAAATAAGTAATAATAATTTCTAAAATTACTAGAAATAGAAATAATCTTTATACAAATAAACTTAATATAAGCAAATATTAAAAGTCACATTTTTTTTATTCTACCGCTCATTCGGAATGCAGACACATCACAAGAATGAGCAAGAAACTTGTTACTGTTGTTGCTCTTTTAAGTAAATGTTGTTTTAATTAGATTAACATTCACAAGGATTAGGCATGCGACAATTAACATAGAACTTACATATTTATATACATAAACAAATCATTACATAGTATAAAACAAAGTCGCTGTCGCTGTCTGTCCGTTCCTATATATGCTTAAATCTTTAAAACGACTCAACGGATTTTGAAGCGGTTTTTTTAATATATAGAGTGATTCAAGAGGAAGGTTTATATGTATAATACATATACAACCGGACTAAGCCCGGGCGTCTAGCTAGTCATTACATAATAACAAAATCGCTGTCGCTGTCTGTCCGTCCCTATGTATGCTTAAATCTTTAAAACTATGCAACGGATTTTGAATTGTTTTTTTAGTACATAGAGTGATTCAAGGGAAGGTTTATATGAATAATACATATACACACCCGTGCGAAGCCAGGGCGAGTAGCTAGTACGTTTTATAAACACTAGTTAACAAGATAATGGCATATTTTTATGGTTTGTTATTAATTACCTGAAGTTTTCCCAACTCGAACAGTTCATTGCAAAAGTAACACGGCTTCTCTACAATACCTTTGCTGTCATTTAACTCTGATCTCGACAATCTCTTGTTCAGACTCATTTTTGTATACTACATGCATGCGTTATCACTGTTCACTGATCACTCTGTTCATATTAAAGTAATGAGTGCATTACTTTAATTTATTTAATTTATTTTCAAACTGGTATTTGCAAATGTGTGAATTGATTTCATGTCATAAAAGCTGACCGCTGCATGACCTCAAAGTAATATTTTAAACGCGAAAGTTTGTGTGTATGGATGGACAGATGTATGTTTGGATGTTTGTTACTCTTTCACGCAATAACTACTGGACGGATTTTGATGAAACTTTACAGTAATACAACTTATACATCAGAATAACACATCCTTACTTCCTTACTAATTATAAATATGAAAGTAACTCTGTCTGTCTGTCTCGCTTTCACGCCAAAAGTACTGAACCGATTTAAATGAAATTTGGTACACAGATAGTCTAGACCCTGAGCAAGGATATAGGCTACTTTTTAATGCGAAAAAAGGGTTGCAAGGGGTTGAAAGGGGAGATGAAAGGTTGAATGGAAGTATCGTCATTTTAAGCGAATGAAATCGCGGGTGCAGCTAGTAGGCTATAAATTTCACGTATATGAAGCCATGGGCACAGGTATATATAATAATATAGCTATTACCCGCGATTTCGTCTGTTTTTGTGAGATCTATGCAAACCTCATGATACAATCTATCGTATCGCCAAATTTCATTAAGATCCGTTCAGCCCGTAAAAGTAGTAAACAGACTGACAAAAGGCCACCTTCGCGTTAATAATAAATCTTATTAATATTATAAACGCAAAAGTTTGTGAGTATGCATGGATGTTTGTTACTCTTTCACGCAAAAACTACTGAACGGATTTTGATGAAACTTTACAGTAATATAGCTCATATATCGAAACCGCGGATATAGCTAGTATTAATATAAATTACTGAGCATAACAGAATACTACTCTGTTTGAAAAACAATAACAAATATCCTTGAAATAACACTGTAGTAGGTACCTATATCGTTTTGTCAATGAACATATTACTCCACTCGCGCTGCCGGAAATATTGTCGGGCGACAACTGAGCAAGAGGGCTGAATGTAAAAACACGCTGCCACTCGCGCTGCCAGTCCTTTGACTCACACACGAAAAACCGACAGTCGAGGGAGTGCCGGGCAGCGCGAGTGGCAATTCCAATAGCATGGGAAGTATCGTGTTTACACTCTCGCGCTGCTCACTTCCCTGCCCACTCGGGCTGAGTGTAAACATAGCATAAAAACGTCCTTACTCATAGAAACATAGATATAAATGCAGCGGTAAACTCTTATATTAGATTAAATTGGACATATAAATACCACAATTCAAATAATACCACAAAACACTTATGTATTTAGACACTCATAACATTTTCACTAAAACGACACTTCACTCGAAAAAAAAACTGTTTACTGTGTTAATTGTTATAGGATTTGTGACAATTATAGTTTCATTTATCTTTTTTTTCTATATGTACGGTTTGCACAATACAATGTACGCGTTTATTAGCAGCAATGATTCATGATATCATACGTTATCAGTACAGAGTCAGTGATACGTGATAGTGGGCGTATCTACTGATAAGCATGTATTGTGAAGGATTTCGAGTTGTGTCGAGTTTGCGAGCGAAGGATAAGTCTGTATATCTATAGTCTATAGTCTATACATCTATACATATAAATAAAAATTAAGTGTCTGTTTGTAATATTGAAATAACCGTTTTTTACTACATGCATATATATATATATACGGTACATATACCAAATTATATTTTTTTATCATTTTTGTCCGTCTCGTCTCAAGTTACTCCTTATTACATCAGCTACCTGCCAAAAAAATTCCCGTCATAATAGGTCCAGCCTTTTCAGTGATTAGCCGGAATAAACAGACCGACAGACGCCTGTTCATTCCTCCAGCGACTTCCATTGATTCCTATCCTGTGCTACTCTTCTCTATTTTATGACTTCAACTCATCTTCCCATTTCATCGTCTGCCTTTTACCTAAATTACTATATTTTAGATTTTTTAGAAGGATTATACTACATGTTTCAGTCTGTTCTATTTAGACAAGAATTCTAACAGCCTGGATAATAACTCTCATATAAATTCATATATAAATAGAATATAGTAAATATAAAATGTAAAGTAATAATAAAATTATTTAAAAGAGCAACACGAAAGTTTCTTGCTCGTTCTTCTTGTGATGAGACAGCTTTCCGAATGAGCGGTAGATTAAAAAAATGTAATGACTATTCAAAAGTGCTTCAATGTAAGTTTATTTGAATAAATGATTTTCTATTTCTATTTCTAGAATCTGTCTGTTTGTTTCACCGATTACTTCTTTTAAATTACGCAACGGAATTTGATACGAATTTCACTATTATTCAGCAAAATTTAAAGATATGTATAATTCACGAATGACTATGCAGCAAAACGGCCTCTATCATATACACTTGTGCGACCCCATCGGAACCTAATTCATAACAGTAATTAGAGGGCATTCATAAATTACGTGAGATTTTTAAGGGCGGGAGAGGGTCGAGTCAAATCTTATCAAATCTTACGTTGGAGAGAGGAAGGTCTCGGCAAATATCACGCAATTTTTTTTCTAATTATAACAAAAAAAAAATTACTTTTTTGGTCCATTTAATCCAGATTGTACATTCTTAAGATTTCATCTTAAGGGTAATCGTAATACGATTAAAATCATTCACTAATTCGTTCGAAAGAACATAATTTCTTTCATACTTCGACGTTATACATCTACTGACTGTCAAACCACCATGTTTGTTTTCAGAAAAACATCTCACGTGATTTATGAACGCCCCCTTATACAAAGCTATATTAACATCTTTATAATATTTTTTTGTCTGATGTACCTACTGACTGCTAATAATGTAAGATTCCTGATACTCGACTTCTATAGACAACATGTTTTCTTTTTTTTTTGGGTCATGTAGGACATCTATATGTAATATTACCTCACAATAAATAAATATGATATATATACATAACTTTATTTAAAAAAACCTAAAATTAGAAACTTTAAAAAACCTAACAAATAAATTCACAAGTATTCGCTTTTGCTATTAAATTTTATTAGGCGCAATACTATGTACTTCCCAAACATAAGTGGGTATATAATATCCGTGGACAATTAACACAGCGCCATCTAGTCCCACCTAACGTAAACCCAAATATGGTAATTTTTTTTTAAAGTCATTTGTTTTATTAATTGTAAGCACATATTTTTTATATAAATGTCGTATTTGCCTACAATTAAGGTTGCACTTAGTATAATAAATATATTAAAAATGAAAAACACTGAAAATTCAGCGTTGTGGTATAACCATACTACATTATAAATGCTGAGTGGGAGTCACATTCAGCGTTACCAGTATGTTTAACCTTTATGTTTTTAAGTATAAAAGATCCGATGGTTGCATATAGAATACTGTAATGCTGAATAAATGTATTTATTTATTATTATATTGTAGTGTGTTAAATGTAATGTAATGGTGTTGTTGTAAACCTTGAAATATACATATTCTTTTATCCATATTTAAAATATGACGTTCTTTATATACAACTAGCTGTGCCCACGTAAAATATACGTAAACCTACGTGTTATTCTGATGTATAAGCTACATTAATATTAATAATAAGATTTGTTTTATACACTTCTTTCACTGCGTTTTGCTGTAATAAACTTCTAAAAAGCATCTCTCTATGGTCATATGTATGCTTAAATCTTTACAACTACGCAACGGATTTTGAAGTGGTTTTTTTAATAGAGTGATTCAAGAGGAAGGTTTAAATTTTACCCGGGCTAAACCGGGGCGAGTAGCTAGTAAATAATAAGTTTATTGTACAATTATATAATAATAATAATAAAGTCATTTATTCTGAAATTTACAAATATTTTTAACTATAATATACTATTTTTTTTTTATAATATATCTCTAATTTCAGTGTGACTCCAGCGACTTCCATTGACTCCTATCCTGTGCAACTCTTCTCCATTTTGTGCTCACAGTTGCCTTCAACTCATCTTCCCATTTCATCATCTGCCTTCCCCTCTTTCTCTTTCCGTCTCTAGGATACCACTCTGTTATTTTTCTACTCCATTTTTCCCTTGTATCTCGCATCATGTGGCCAGTCCATCAATATTGTGCAATTATTATGTACAAATAAACAACTATGGCAGTAAACAGCCTAGCACAGCCTGTTTGTTATAACACAGTTAAGTTGGTTGTTAAAAGGAAGAGTGAAGTTTGTTTACTCGATCAATTTAACCCTGTAACAAATGTTTGCGAAATAACCTACTTTATGACTTTTGCAATATAATCGGCTGACAGTTTTTAATAATCATTACCATATATATGTTGTTAACAGCTTTATAAACGTGTCTCATTAAAAAAATAAACATATTTACTAAAGTTGTTATACATCTACATGTTAATACTATAATAGCTGTTAACAGCGATTTCATCCACGTGGAATTGAAATTAAAATCAAAAATAAAAGAAGTCTAAATAACTTCTTATAACATTAGCTATCTGTGAAACGTGAAAAATTGGTTTCAAAGGTAAGCAACAATAAACAGACGGACCGACAATATGTTTTATGTAAATCCATATACATATACTTTTATATGCATATAGTGAAATATTATTGATTTGAAATTACAAACAGACATCTTAATTATGTTTATCTGTATAGATTGCATGAGAAAAATTAGATTTTTTTAATCCAACAGGAACAAACTAAAATATATATAGGTATATATATATTTGTGTGTAGAAAACCAGCAAAGACTGAGAAAAAAAAAGAATAATAAAATAAGTTTGACAATGAAGAAGAAGGAAAATATATAATAATAATAATAATAACCTAAAATAGAAATGTTTAGGGCGAGTCCGTATTACCGATCCATTGTAATATATAATAAAATCCCGGAAACCATAAAACAAGAAGATAAAATTTATTTATTTAAAAAAAGGCTTAAAGAACTACTGACCGAC